CATCCACTGCATCTATCAACCCACCTGTCCCTGGTCAGCTCTTCTCCACACCCATGCATTCACTGCATCTATCAACCCACTTAACCCTAGTCAGCTCTTCTATACACCCATGCATCCACTGCATCTATCAACCCACTTATCCCTTGTCAGCTCTTTGCCACACCCATGCATTTACTGCATCTATCAACCCACCTGTCCCTGGTTAGCTCTTCTCCACACCCATGCATTCACTGTATCTATCAACCCACCTATCCCTAGTCAGCTCTTCTCTACACCCATGCATTCAATGTATCTATCAACCTACTTAACCCTTGTCAGCTCTTCTCCACACCCATGCATTCACTGCATCTATCAACCCACTTAACCCTAGTCAGCTCTTCTCTACACCCATGCATCCACTGCATCTATCAACCCACTTATCCCTTATCAGCTCTTCTCCACACCCATGCATTCACTGCATCTATCAACCCACCTGTCCCTGGTCAGCTCTTCTCCACACCAATGCATCTATCAACCCACCTGTCCCTGGTCAGCTCTTCTCCACACCCATGCATTCACTGCATCTATCAACTCGCTTAACCCTAGTCAGCTCTTCTCTACACCCATGCATCCACTGCATCTATCAACCCACTTATCCCTTGTCAACTCTTTGCCACACCCATGCATTCACTGCATCTATCAACCCACCTATCCCTAGTCAGCTCTTCTCTACACCCATGCATTCACTGCATCTGTTAGCCCTCTTATCCTTAGTCAGCTATTCTCTACACCAATGCATCCAATGTATCTATCAACCCACCTGTCCCTGGTTAGCTCTTCTCCACACCCATGCATCCACTGCATCTATCAACCCACTTATCCCTAGTCAGCTCTTCCCCACACTCATGCATTCACTGCATCTATCAACCCACCTGTCCCTGGTCAGCTCTTCCCCACACCCATGTGTGACCAGCCACATCCATTACAACAGAGAACTCTGCTCCAGCAGCAGCCACCAGCACTGGCTTGTCAGAAAAGTGCTGCACTAGAGTTGGAAGTTGCTGAAAGATATCATTTGTATGTGCAGTCAAATCAGTCCATTAACAAATCGCCATCTGAAGTCATTGTATACAAGTCTGTGCAGTCAAATCAGTCCATTAACAAATCGCCATCTGAAGTCATTGTATACAAGTCTGTGCAGTCAAATCAGTCCATTAACAAATTGCCATCTGAAGTCATTGTATACAAGTATGTGCAGTCAAATCAGTCCATTAACAAATCGCCATCTGAAGTCATTGTATACAAGTATGTGCAGTCAAATCAGTCCATTAACAAATCGCCATCTGAAGTCATTGTATACAAGTATGTGCAGTCAAATCAGTCCATTAACAAATCGCCATCTGAAGTCATTGTATACAAGTATGTGCAGTCAAATCAGTCCATTAACAAATCGCCATCTGAAGTCATTGTATACAAGTATGTGCAGTCAAATCAGTCCATTAACAAATCGCCATCTGAAGTCATTGTATACAAGTCATAATTCAGGTCACATCTAAGTGAAAACTATCAAGTATTGTCAGTGAATATTTTGTTTTGCAGCATTTTATTTGTTTGAGAAATGCAAGTGTTTATTCTGAGAGTGAAATAATTTCCCAAAAAACACAAACTTGAGAATTAATTTGCATTTCTGAATCAATAAATTTAAAAAAAAGAATGAAATTCGGAGGGTACGTGTTTATCCCCTGAATAGCCGAAAGTGTAATTTGATATAAGAGTAAGACATGCAAACAATGTAAGTATCTTAATGTCATCAGAGAAGCATATTTCAGAGGAATGCATTGCAGCATAACATATACTCGGGTGGTGAATCAAAAATTGGCTCACATGGCAAATAATTTTGATACCATAAAAGAAAAACAGTATTATAGATTTTCCCGCATGCATGCACTATATATGAACATTCAATAAACAGTGAATTCAGGAACAGATATCTACATATCATCACTGTTTTCACACTGAACAGTAATCGCCACTGATTTGGTAAACAAACTTGTCCACACATTGCCACTAGTTTCTACTGATGGATCAGCTAGATTCAGGGTCAGGTCTGAATTTCATGCTGGATGTATCTCCAGTAATACTTTGGAATTTAGTTTGAATAAAGGTAGTATAGGTCGATCAATAATTTCTACTAATATCATACTCTAGTTGTAGGAGGCAGGATGAAATAATAGGAAATTTTAATATCTTTTTATTTTTGGACAATTTTGATATTATGATCTATTAAGGTTTCATTTGATTATATTGGTGATTGATTAAGTTATCCCCCTCTACTTAGCTCCTGTTTATTTTATTTTTACATGCCAAGCACTGACTGTGCACCGACTCAGTCACTTAGTGGACCAATTACTTTTTAGAGTCTTCCCTGTTTTTATTCGCCTACTGGATAAAAGATTGGGTTGATTGTCGATATTTTCATTATATTTCTGGATTGCTATGTCTAGAACTAAATGCATTATTTGATTATGAATCAATAAATTACTATTTGTAATTATTATTACTTGTGGTGGTGATGAAATACAGGGCCTCACAGCCACATGTATGGAGAGTAAACTTTACTAGAGATGAAGAATTTGAGCATTTGTATCCTAGCTTAACAAATACTTGTTTTCATTCAAACTAAAAATCAAAATCTTATAAACAGAAATCAAATATTGCAAATATCACACTCTTACCTGTTCAACTCTATATGTACCAACACCAAGTTGACCAAAATCATTTTTTCCAAGTGCATAGAGTTCACCGGCATTGGTCACAATCAGGGTATGGTTACATCCTGCAGAAATCTGAAATAATCATATAATATGCAAATCAGATTAGTCACATTGATTGGTAAAGTGGTAACGATGTTTTACGATGTGAGAAAGTGATACATTAGATAGGGTTACTTGGTTTAACGAATTATATAAAAGGTTAGTGGGTACATTTAAAGGTATTTTGAAACAAATACAGCATGTAAACACATATATTGTCAATGTACAATGTAAATTAATGCCACTCATATCAGTAACACTTTTCTTGCACAACAGAGCAAATAGCAAATGTTGATAAATGTTCTAGATACAGATACATGTACAATTTGTTTTTGAGATGTTCAAAGAATTGTTTTTTTTTAATTCATTTTCACAATATAGCTTAAGGTAGCGAAAAGGGTTTGATGGTGTTTTTGAATAAAGCATTCTCTGTCTGTTTGTTTCATTCAGAACCGTAATTTAGCATATATGATCCAAAAGCTTAAGTATAGAGGGACAAGTTCGCACAAACTGGAAATCATGGTTGTTGGCTTTACAGAATTCAAAATACTATTTGCTCTTCTTGAAAAGTGAGCTGCGATGATGCACCTTCAAAACATGCCCTACCTGTTTTATTCTGTTGGTGATGTCATTATCCAATAACGTAGGTGTCAGATGTACAATTTCTGAATTGTCAGGTTTTAGTAAAGCATGGGATCCTCTACGTCTACGACTTAGAATCAGTTTATGTCTAAGAGTAACAGGATGGTTGCCCCATGTGTACAATTTTTGTGGATTACTGCTCACCACAACCTAATAATAGAAGTAATAATAATAATAATATTTATTGCATCTTTAGAAATACAGTATTTCTATCAGTACAGTAGCAATAAAAGTATAACAAAGGATAATAATAATAATGAAATAATAAAGAAAGAGAAAATATTATAATGTTAAGTATAAAAGTAAAATGTAATGTATTGTTACAAATACTACCGGGGTAATAAGTTTAATAATAATAAAACTAAGACTAATAATAAAAAAATTCAAAACTATCAACTATCTATTCTAATACTGTAGAATACTTTATTTTCGCTTGGAATTTATTTTCGCTATTTTCGCTGAAATCCAGCGAATATACTTTTTTCCCTATATTTCACATTAAACTCATGAAAAATCAGTGAAAATAAATTCCAAGCAAAATGCCCAAAAAGCCTTTTCAGCGAAAATAAAGTATTCCACAGTACCTAATGAAATTAAATAATAAAAAAGTATCATATTTGCACTATCAGAAGTATAATAGTTATGCATGTAAATGCTCACTTTGGTTGTACATGGAAGTACATAAACTAAAACATTAGTTTTACTGTGTTAAGGCTCACCAAGGAATTTAGGTTTAAAAATTCAATGCAAAACAGAAGAGAAAACATGAGAGCAACACAATTCAATAATCATTACTTCTTTCCCATGGTTTTAGACATTGAACTTTAACAGCCAGCAGTTACAGCAACTTTCAAGTAATTTAAATTTATAGCAATAAAAATGATATGGTTGAGAATATAAGTAAAGCGATGAAGAAGGGTTGCAATAAAGGAAAGTTTAGCATTTCAATAAAGTTATCTCTGGCATGAGGGTGGATGTCAACATTTAACATGTAAAGCCATCTCTCCAAAAAGAAAATACTATATAGTTTCATTTTTAGCGTTCAATCAGAATGACAATATTTAATCTGACTTACCATATGATAAAACCCACATGTTACCATGACAATCTTGTCATTTGCTATGCCTTTAACCAGCGTAGGTGAACTGACCTTCTGAATATCACCATGACCCAGCTGACCAAATCTACTACTGCCAAAGGTCAGGACTGAACCACCCAAGGTCAAAACAGCAGAGTGACAACAACCAGCGCTAATTTGCATAATCTGATAAGAATCAAGTGATGAGATATGTTTTGGTGTATAGTGGTCTTTAGGGTCACCATGACCTAGTTGACCATGCACACCCCATCCCCAGCTCCATACTCTGAAATTGGGATGAAATGAATCAATGTTTTATGAAATAAATACAAGCAGTTGTTATGTAAACACACATATATATATATCTGTTTAATTCTTTCAAAAGATCTTTTGCATTCATAGTAAATGGCGCCCTCACTCAACAATGAATAGAATAAGTGGTTGGTCAAAATTCAAAGAGTCGTGTGCATCTATTGGCTAAGCTTCTTCCTGTAGACACAGAGCCAAATCGTTGCTATGCAACAACTAGTTTTAATATTGTAAACTCACTCCATTGTTATGCAAATCTGTAGCGCTTATAACGTAGTCTGTTTCGGTGGTTTATTTAATAAAGTCTTAACTCCTGATGAGTGAGGTACTCCATGTACCTTATTTTCAAATCCTATTTCAATGTTTTAACAGTCAAATTGTGTTTCTAGTCTGTGACATTGTTATTATACTTTGTTATTATTACCTGTGGTCATGTGACAGAGCCAATGAATGATAATGCCCACACTCCACAGCAACAACTTGCTGGTCTAACAGTTCTGCAATTAGAACTGGTCTGGCCTGTGTTTGTGTATTACCAACACCAACTTGACCAAACTTAGAAGAACCCCATGCATAGACCTGGACAAAACAAAAGCGTTTATCAGAGTTCAGACCTTATATTTCGATTCAACACTTAATACTTTTATAAATATAAAGGAACTACTGAGTTAAAAAATGATTTTATTGCCAACTGTTTCAAGAGTTTTTATGCATAACATTTTTAAAAAATAATCGTAATTGGAATGTATTGGGATGTATTGGGATGTATTTGAATGTATTGAAATGTATTGGAATGTATTCAGATGTATTGGAATGTATTGGAATGTATTGGAATGTATTGAAATGTATTGGAATGTATTGGAATGTGTTGAAATATGTTGAAATATATTGAAATGTGTTGGGATGTATTGGAATGTATTCAGATGTATTGGAATGTATTGAAATGTATTGGAATGTATTGGAATGTGTTGAAATATATTGAAATGTATTGGGATGTATTGGGATGTATTGGAATGTATTGAAATGTATTGGAATGTATTGGAATGTGTTGGAATGTGTTGAAATATATTGAAATGTATTGGGATGTATTGAAATGTATTGGGATGTATTGGAATGTATTGCCATGTATTGGGATGTATTGAAATGTATTGGGATGTATTGGAATGTACTGCCATGTATAGGAATGTATTGAAATGTATTGGAATGTGTTGGAATGTGTTGAAATATATTGAAATGTATTGGGATGTATTGAAATGTATTGGAATGTATTGGGATGTACATTTTGTATTGCCATGTATTGAAATGTATTGCCATGTCTGGCTTAGATATGACTCCTAAATCTAAAGTAGATTTTTTGTGTCTGCAATAAATCTAATCTATTAATACTTACACCCTGTTGACAGAGAGCCAGAGTGTGCTCTTTTCCACAAGCAACTGACATCACTTGTATTCTGTGCATATGTAATGTTTCTACTCGGAATGGTGTCACTTTTCCATCATCAATGATTATCTCACCGTGGCCAAGTCTAAAAAATAAAGGTTAGTTTATTTATATTACTATAATTTTGGCGTCATAAAGTGAGTGGTAAGAAGCAGTTATTAGGTGTGTTTCCATCTTATCTCTAAACATCCACAAACCATAATCACAATTGGTAGAGAATCCTTTACAGAAAAACTGAGAGAAGGAAAACTTACCTGTTGAGCAACCAGAGAAAAAAGGTGGTGCATATCATTTGGGTAAATTCACTCAAATTCACTTTCTTTGTAACCTTTTAAATTAGTTCTATTATGTTTTTACATTCACTTACAGTTTCATTTAGCAAAATTCACCAATTAGTTATATCAAAACCATGACAAAAGGCAACTATATAATGTACCTTCCACTATGAGCATTCCCCCATGTGTACAAGTCTCCATAGCATATAGCAGCAGCATGACTTTGACCACAACATAGTATTCTACTCTGCCTTGCAACTCGACTTCTTCGTCTAGGGCTGCTCAGGGGTGTGGTTGGTCTACTGCTGCTATTTCTACTGCTGGCATCATCTCTGTAACCTGTCAATGAACTGAAATATACAAAAGTAAAATTCAAATTTCCATCTTTCTTGGTCATTGCCAAATAATTTTGATCGAAATAAACAATGTTAACTCCTATATAATAATTAATGTTTATTTGAGTTTTTAACTTAATAGAATTCTGGTTTTACTTAATATTTGAAATTATAATACATGAAACATGTAATCAGTAAAATATCACCCAGTATTCAACGTCTCATCAAATATGGAAACTATTTTTACTGTGCAACCTGAATTATATATTATTTCCAACAA